AACGTTACTTTTACAATTATGGATTACTATTGTACATTTATGATTATACATTGTAACGTTTCATTCTTTTAAATGGTATTTTCATCTTTTTATTTTCTTTTATGACATTTAATAAAAATTAATTTAAAATTTAAAATAATATATATATATAATTAGGAATTATCACATCAACAAAAATTTGCATATTCCACTCTTTTGTTTTTTTTTTTAATACATAGTAGCTTTGTTTTTAATTAATATGTAAGCATACTAATGCTGAAATTAATTGTTACGATTTTATCCGCTTATTTAATAATTCTAACTTTTATTCTATATATTTTTTAAATAGAATGATTACAAATTATTCTACCAAAATCAGTGGGTATAGTACAAAAATAGAAAATTAAAATAAAACAATCGTTCTTATAAAAGACAATTTATTGTTGCATAAGAACGTGTTTAATATTTTATAAAATGCATTCGTTTAAATAAAATTCATAGCCTCAAATAGTAGTAGTAGTGATAATAATAATAATATTTAATGTATTTTATATAAATATTATTCCCGTTATGATTATATTTATATTCCTATATATATAACTATTCACAAAGAATTTATTGTAAAAATAAAATCAGAACATTTTATTTAACTAATTGTAAAAAGAAGTTGTTATAATTTTCATTAATTAATTAAATTATATACTTTATAATTACATAATAACTAATAATAACTAAAGGATATAAGAAAGTTTTTACATATAAAAAAAATTATTTGGATTTTTTAAGATACTTATTTAAAATAATAATTGTTATTTAACTCATTAATATTTTTTAATAAAAATAGTTAATTACTTTTTATGGCATAACCAAATTATTTTTTATCTATTAATTGGTCAAAATCACTATTATTTTCTACAATTATCATTATAGTGATTTATATGTAGGTTAAATAGTTTATACTTATATCGTTTATATTTACAAACCATAAAATTTCAAAAATATGATATACTCATTATTTATCTTAAATTTTAAATATTATATAAATGAAGAATCATGCAATCCATCAATTAAAATGGCAGGACAATATTAGAGTCAGTAAAAAAAAAATAAAACCAATCAATTATTCTTTAAAACAGAGCAATCACTTGGCAATTAAATTATACAATCAATGACCAGTTTTTAAAACTTTATAAATAGATGAAAAAATAAGAACCAAAATCACATTCAGCAAAAAATACTACTCAACAGGAAAAAAAAAATTCTGCCACATTCTCATTTCAAATGGCTTTTACGTTTGATAATATTGAGGTTGATTCGCCATTATTCAACAAGATCTTTGATAAAATAAAAATAAAAAGAAAAAAATCAAAATGGCGGATTGTAGTACGTATTTCACGATGTCAAGGTATAAAAATCTTTTTAGTCTTTTATAACACATACTATTTCAATATCGATTTTTTATAATATTATATTTTTTTATCGTGTAGGGTCAGTGAATTCAAGCTTCAAGCCCAGGTTGCTTCGCTGAAGAATTTTATGAAGTTTAAAATCAGTGAGGGTCGTATTTATGCCATAAAAAATTTTAAAGTGTTTCCCGACCAAAATTATTTGTCATAGAAAATTTATACAACAAAAATGATCCCAAAACTTTATCCACGAAATAATATAAAAATCATACAAATATATTAAACCTTTAAGCAAACAATTCACATCTAGATCAATAGCTTCCCCATTGATAAATTAAAAGTATGACTACGATAGCTAAACAAAATAGGAATCGGTCCGAGTGTTTGTGTAGATGAGAGAAAAAAAAATTAAAAGTGAAGAAGAAACGACGAAAATGTTGCACGTGGTAGGGTTTCGTGCATCAAGTACCTGCCTCTACCACCTTCTTAAATGTTCTATATATGTGTGGTGGATGAAACTTTGGCCGTGCTATATGAGTTCGAACATCCTTCATCAGTGCATCAAACTTCGCCTTAAAGACACAACAAATTATATCTAGACGGTCCTCAGGGTTGAGGTTCCTTTCAGAAAGGAATCGACTGATTTCAGGCCACTTGGGGTTGCAAGTGATAGTTATGAAGATATCAACATAACCGATACAACGACAAATGGTAATCGCATCCAACGACAAAGGGTGCACTTCAATTGGCAACCAATAAAATTCTTATCCATCATTTATATTTTCTTTGATTAGTGTATAATTCGATTGATATGTTGTTCTCCGAATTTTGAGATCGACATATACTCGATTAGTTATTACTAAGCTCAACAGCCATGTATTCGAATGACAAATATGAACCGGTGCCAGAGCTGCTGATAAGGTTCTTATTCGTAGGCTCAAAATCATACCATTCAGCGCAAGCAGTTTCTACTCATGGTTTTCTATGTTATGACAATCAATGAGAGTCAAGGACAATACTGTCGCACATCAGCATACTACTGAAGAGCCCTGTATTTAGCCATGAACAATTGTACGTGGCGCTTTCTAGAGTTACGAGCCGAAGGAGTTTGAAGATAATGATTTGTGGTGATGGAGATTCTGACGATTAAAAAAACACGAATGTTGCACATAAAGAAGTATTTAATAATATTTAATTTTTTTTTTAAAAAAAAATCGATGATTATGTTATGATTTTTACTATTGTTTATAATTTTTTTATTATTTTATTCTTTATCATATAGCTTTCTGTGCAATAGCACATGTAACAACTAGTTTAATATTTAAAATCGGACTCCCTGAGTTAAATTTCTAAATCCGTCAATGCAACCGGGTCAATGTCGAATTAACCCAGTCTACTGTTGCGTAGTTTGAACTATGCCAGGCTAGGGTAGGTAAGCCCGTTTATAAAATAACAACTTGATTAAAATCCCATATATACGTTACAATAATCAATCGAACCTTAAACCCGGCAGAAACCTAAGATACAGCAAGAATGGCGGCGGCGTATGGTTTTGGCGTTCACTTCGAACCCACAGACCACGAAATCATCACCTTCCTTCTCAAAAGAGTCACCGGCTTCGCTGGAGACGACGAGTTTATCAAGACCGATAATCTGTACGGCCACAGGGAACCGTGGGATATTTTCGGGGATTTTGATCACAAAACCAGGCGCTACTTCTACAGCAGTCTCACCAGAAAGACTGCCGGCGGCCACCGGTTTTCCCGGAACGTGGGAAAGGGCACGTGGACGAACAAAGGCAAGGCCACTCCGATTCTTTCTGTCGACCGACGGGTGATCATTGGTTACCGGAGGACTTTCCGGTACCAGACGAAGGCGAGTAATTTGGACAAGAAGGGTTCGTGGCTGATGACAGAATATGTGCTTCCCGATGCGGCCATCAAGTTCGAGGGCATCAAAGAAGAGTACAAGAATTTCGCGCTGTGTGTTCTCAAGAAGAAGAAAACCAAGAATGTTAAGCCACATGTCGGGAGCGGATTAGGTGATTTTGGAGCTGAGTGTTCTTGTTCATGTAGCGTTGAGGCTCCTATTACTGATTTTCGGGATCAGACGAGTCAAAGTGATAATGTGGATTTTGGATATGTGGGCCCGAAAGAAGTGCAGACAGACGAGGATTGGATACATGAGTTAGAGGAGAGTATTATGGACGATCATCGTGATGACGTCATCAATGGTCTAGAAGAGGGTGATTCGAATCCAGGTGGCACGTTCCCACTGGTTGATGATGATGATGATTGGATCCACGAGCTGGAGGAGAGTATGATGGATCACGATGATAATTGTTACGAAAGTGGATTGGTCAGCAAAATGGATGGTATTGGTGAGCCCTTGTGTGAAGATGATCCTAGTTTCGAGAAGGAGTTGTTGGAGTTGTTCGATTTTGATCTTCCTGCAGACGATCATTTCCTATGGGATGATAACCTGCTCTACAATGGCCGCTTTCTCCGGCAGGATCAGTCTTCGGCAGCCCCATTGATTGCCGGTAGTTAGTCAGTGATCGGGTGGCATAATTAGTTCGTTCGTTCGTTTTTTATATTTCTTCATTCTTAACTGATAAAAGTTTTGTGGTGTTCGAGATCAGTGTGTATATATTTCATTTCTGTTCATGATGGTTCTCATTATCCAGTTTGTATTTCAGCCCCCTTTATAGTAACTGTATTATGATTTGATTTACTTTATTTTTATTGGATCTGAGTATCTTTGATTAATGCATTTCCATGTGTAGTCTGTGTAAGGTACGGAATGCTGATGATCTGTATTGCTGCTGTTTAAGATGGTACTGTAATGTGGCAATGATTTGGTTAATCAATTTTCTAAGATTGATTGAAAAAGGAACAAGTTCCCATCAAAACTCTAATTGAAACAACTTATCAATGCAAGAGCAACAGTTCTTCAGGCAAAAACTCCAAATACAAATGCACCTAATCATAACTTTTAGCTGAACAAACATCTCATAAAATTAATTTCAAACATACAGTAAGCTGCTTAAAGAACCAAATCCTTCTTATTTCGACTGATCGTAATATTTATTCGAATTACAACACTGATTCCCTGAATTACAATTCGCTGAATTACAACAGTACTAGCACGATACACACACACAAAGATTGCAAATGCCCACACTTAACAGTATATTATCGAAAAACATAAGACCACACGAAAAGGCTATTTATTTAAATTGGTTGTTGGTTCGCGCCCACCCCACATGGAGGCGGATGTTCGGGTTATTTTCCAGGCCTCGCATAGCATCAACAAGGTTGTCCGGGTCATGGGTTCCACTCTGCAAGAATCTCCTCAAAAGCCTCCGCACTAAACTTTCTCGAGATTACACTGGCCAAACATACTACAGTTGGGAACAGAACGATCTTTATTCACCTGCACTAAACTCTTAACAAGTATTTGCTAATATATCATTTTTCACATTCACTTCAATCCACGACTGGGGCAGTTGGCATTGAGTTATGAACTTAGGGCAACAGCTCCAAAACAAACAATCCAAGAGTGAGGAGCAAATTGAAGACCACATACTCAAAGTTCTCCACCACAGTCCTAAGCGAGCCTTCCATATCCCCACATACTCAAAGTTCTTCTGTGAGATAAGCCTGATATTGAAAGATAGAGAAATTCTCCACCGGCTCAACTACTTCAACCGAACGAGAGAAAGAGTCACGGGCTCACCATGCAGTACGGATATTTCAGATTCCCATTCACTTTAAGTTTTCTGAAATGTCAGGGCAGGCAAGCACAAACCCGAAAACCTAAACTTACGAAGCCGTGGGACATCAAACTTGGCCCAAACTCGTTCTTATCGGCCCAGCTCACACGATCAAATGTCAGGGCTCAGAATATGTGCCTGCTTGCCCCAGATGCAGTGATGAACAGTCATATCCACGAGGAATGGGAATTTGCTCGAGAAGTCGCTGAAAAACGACTTACCAATATCAACCATCTCCAAATACAAGCGCATGAGGTCACGAAACTGGTACAGATAGGTCTGCCTGTAAATAACAGGCTCAACGTCTTCTTTCCTGAAGATGTTAAGGTAATTAAACGGCATGAAATTGGTCATTTTTCCACCACTTCTCGTCTGATATTCTGAACACGCGCATTCGGACAGTATCAATTGCTCAATCAGTGGGCAGCTCCTGATTATATCCCAAATCGTATAACCTTCAACCAACACCTTGGACAAATTGAGAGATTTAAGTGAAAAGCAACGCACATTTCCTTCAACCCCTCGATCGATTTCGCAATTCACCATAGATAAGCTGTAAAGGGTTTCGGATCCAAACACCTCAGGCGGTAACTGAAGCGGCGCCCCTCCACCCGAGATTTCCAGATGAAGAACAGTGGCGCCCATCTCCAGAGCTTTCACAATAAAACCCACTGGCAAGAGACCGATTCAACCCTCGGACGGCCGCTTGCGAGCCACCCATCCACAGGGTCAAGCTCTCGATCTTCCGGCCGATGACTTCGTATCGTTCGCCGCGAGTAATCTGGGAACGCGTCCGCCGCGCTGGAGACATTCCGGAGGGGATTGGAGAAGTGACGCTAGTCGAGATCCAGATTCAGGTGGGTGTACCAGGCGGCGTAACATGATTTGGACAGGACAGTGGTTTGCGCAATCTCCTTTCCGTCGAGGAAGGACTGTATTTGCTGAATTATGGCTTCCGGCAGCTAGGTTTTGTGGTAAGGTGAGCTGAATTT